TTGCTCTCCTTTGCCTTATAAATTATAACACATAGTCCCAAACTCAAGAAAGAAAAATTAAGATAGATCGTTTTACCTAAAAGAAGGGCCTCAATGTGTAATGATGTTGAAAGAATATGTTTGTAATAAAGCCATAAGGAAAATGCTTATATTCAGTTTAAAAGAACGAGTGTGGCCATATATAACATAAGAGCATTTCTTGTTGAAGTAGGCCAATTTCCTCTAAAAATTGCACATTTAGGGAGTTTTGATCAATTCCGACGAAATTAGAATTAACAACACAAAAATTTTTCGCGCGCTTCGCGCACATTTGTTAGGGTTAAGGCTTGTGCTTGCCCTCCTTTGCCTTCTAAGTTATTTAAAAACATAATAGTCCCAAACTTGAGAAAGAAAATTTAAGATAGATCGTTTTACCTAAAAGAAGGGCCTCAATGTGTAATAATGGTGAAAGAATAGGTCTATGATTGTAATAAATAAAACCACGATGAAAATGCTTATATTTAGTTTCAAACACACGTGTGTAATAATAAAATAAGTCCTATGTCGTATTGTTTTCTATGTGGGGGGGGGGGCGCGTGTGGGTATCACATCAAGTCATAAATTACTAACCGGGAAAATTATTACCTTTGCCGCCACCCCCTGACCCAAGACCCCTGTTACGCGCCTGCTTATAAGTGGGCCCCTCACTTTGAAAAACGTTCCACCGGCCCTGATTCGTTAGGCCTACATAATAGTTTCATAATGCTGTACTATATACTCCAACATCACTGGCGCGTGGTATACAACCAACTGACTGCAGACCATTTCCGGTCACACATTACTCTCCATAACACAGCACCCCCTAGTTCCGTCACCTCTGGGTAAATATTCAATAAATACCGTACACAGTAAATTGGGGCCGAGTTGATTACTTGGGGCCGAGCTGACTTGGGGCCGAGTTGACTTGGAGCCGAGTTGACATGGGGCCGAGTTGACTTGAATTTGTCATGACATAGGTTAAATAATTATCCAAAATCGCGGCCAAAAAATAAAAATGTTCAGAGTATGTAACTCAAATTCAAGGGCCTAACACTTTTTATTATTCATGCAGCGAAATCAAAAAAATAGGTCTACATATATCGTTTTAAACGACCCATTATATTAGCATGGCAAAGTGTTTTTTTTCAAAATCAGACAGCGAGCAGCACTCCTGTATCTCAGAAGTTTTGTAGACGTTCATCTTTGGTTGATGACCTTTTGACCTCCAGAATTGAGATTTTTCGAGTCGAGTCAGTCGAGACAACCCGAGTGGAGTTTCATGCAAATGTTTCGTACGGGAAAAAAATCGCGAGCGGGAACACCACACTTGTTTTTTACCACCGCACCAGAGTCTTGTTTCATACAAGCAAAGAGTATATTATTATACTGTAGCAGAAGGGAGTCCACTGCTATTCTTAATATACGCGTCAGCGTGACGCCCTATCCGCTGTATAGGGAAAACGCCCATAGCTTCTGTTGTGGATGCATGAGTGATGGCAGCATATAAAAACAGTAATTTAAGACCTGTATTTGGAATAAAGTACATAAAGTCAAATTATTATATCCATTTTTAAACGAAATATAAAGGCAAGAAAAAAAAAGCAAGAAAAATCATGTAAATCAAATCGGTTAAAAAAATTGTTCAATTCGGTAGCGTATTGCACAGATAAGTCAGGAAAACATTTTACTTTATTACTCTTATCTTTATGCATAAAACCACTCATCAAGCGCATGCAATTCTATACCATTTTCATGTTATTTTCTGTAAAATGATTTTCTACTTTCATTCTGTAATTATTTTTTTTCTCTACGTATAAAAGTTTTAAGATCTTTTTGGATATCTTTAAGTTTATTTCTATCATTTTTATTAAAGGCTACTTTCTTCCTTTTAATAATGGCTTGAATGAACATTTTTAGTAATCCATGGTTTATTGTTACTGAAAACTTTTAACAATTATTTTGGGAATTCTAATTTCACAACAGAAATCAATATAGTCACAACATGTTTGAGTGAGATCGTTAAGATCTTTACACTTTTCTTTAAACATGTCCCAGTCTGTACACTCCAAGCACCTTGTAAGCGCTGTATAGATTCATCTGTCCATTGTTTAACAATGATTTTCTTTGGTTTTTGCATCCTACTCAACGGTAAGTATTTGCTACTTAGCAGTACGAGGTTATGATTGCTGAGACAAGGTAGCTTGGTTGACACATATATGCGTTCTTTACATTCGAGTAATAAAGCTGTGGTTGACTGGCATTCCTGGTCGCACAGCTGACATATTGGTAGTAATAAACACTACTTTTCCTTCGATTACAGTGATTAAAATCGCCATTTACTATAAAAAAAAAAAAAAAAAGCGTCAGGGGATTCCACTTCAACTTTATAAATGGCGTCGTAAATTTGTTCTGAAGCTTTCTTAGCAAGGTTTCTATGAGGAACATATACCGTGAAAACTACGTGCGAAAAGTCATGAGACTACTTTCCGAAATTTGTTCATGTATCGCACGTTTGCCCTTAGTTCGTCCATTTTGTTGTCCAGTGACTGCACGTTTCCAATAATAATAGATGGGATTTAAGGTCTACTTTTCCTAATTTTAAGGCGTTTCATGATTCCTCCTGCTTTCTCTCTCTTTCTGCGTTTTAAGATCTTAGGCCACTTGTGTTTGTCTGGCAGCGGTGGGGTGCAACGTCTTTGCTCCTGCATAACTAGCCTAGCAGTTCGTTTGTGTAGTGGGTGATCCTTGACTCAGGCGGTGATCCAAAATAATGATTAAACAACACCAAAAAGCACGTAATTTGCTTCAACAACATGGTAGCACAATACAGTATCGATCACGACGCTCAAAAAGTAGATAAAGAAACACATTAGTTTAAAAAAGGCACCAACAGCTCCACCAGAACGAGCTCCGCCCACCACTTCAGCAGCGCCGCTGTGATGAATAAACTCATGATATATAGTCTTACTTGTACAGCCGTCTTCTTATTCACACTTCTTCGCATACTCCATATGTACGTCCGAACGTCATGTCGAAACTACATAACATAATGTGCAAACCACATAACATAATGAGCAAACCACATAATATCATGACCAAACTACATAACATCATGACCAAACCACATAATATAATGACCATATTTACTTTACTTTATATATCCAGATATATCATAACCAAACGGTTCCTAAAAAAAGCTGTTCCTCAAAATACAGTGATCCTGAAAACATGGAGGTAGGCCTATACTCAAACAAACATAATATAGGCATACTGAACTGAAACACAATCAAGAAAAGAAAGTGTACAAGGTCATCAAGGCCAGAGACCGGCTACTCTGGGCTATAAACCTTCATTAGTAGGAGCATCCATGGTAGGAGTAGGTAAATTGTCTGTTACGGTTGAGTAATCCCCAACTTTGGGGGGCCTGAAACCGTTTCCTTGCTAACTGTAATAATAATAATAATAATAATAATAATAATAATAATAATAATAATAATAATAATAATAATAATAGTAATAATAATAATAATAATAATAATAATAATAATAATAATAATAATAACAACAATTCTGGATTTATATAGCGCCTAACGTTGACACAACCTCGAGGCGCTTAACAACAACAGAGAAGAATAAACATTAATTAAGTTCAAATAATACAGAACCCTCTAAAGTACAGAAATATACTGCTGTACTGTACAAAAATAATTTTCTATGTTTGAAAAGTATGAAATAATAATAAGAAAATAAAAATATTTTGAGCCTGAAATCAGCAAGGAAAGAGAACAAATAAGAACACTAAGTCTGGGAAAAATTGTAATGGTTCTTATATAAACAAAAGTGTACCGTACGACTGATTTTTCTCAGAAGACTGAGCTATTATGCAAACGAAGTCACTGAACCATTGTTGAGGAGCTAAACAAGTAATTTTTTTGGGCCTTATTGTTAGATTTTATATAGATAGGCCTATAATTCCGCTCATTGTTATTGAAATGAGTACGGTAACTCGGCAGCGTTTACTCTCGAACCTTAGTGCCAACCACCTGCAGCAACAGGGAGGTATCAAAATAATACCTCTGCCACATTTTATTACGGGCTATTATCTAATTTACAGATTTAAATCATTACAATGGAAAAGGACAAAGTAAGTAACTTCGTTTCGTTTGATAATACAATAGAACTCCTTATAGGGACACCTTAAAAAACGTGTCCCCTTAATAGGGGTGTCCCCTGAATAGGGGTACCCCTATTAAGAGGACACTTACCAAAAACATAAAATTGTCCCCTTTATAGGGGTTTTTAGCATGTTTTCATATAACGATGACATTCTTTATAATTTTACTTTTATTTTACGCTTATTAAAAAAAATTGGCGTGGCGCTTTTCATGCCCTTTCTCATGTTTTACCTATTTCACGTAGGCATATTCCCGTTTTAGTAGGCCTATCATAGGTCCTATCATCGTAAACAAACGTTTATAAAGAAATGCTTGTGTCTTCCTTGTGTTATTTATTTATTTTAACAGTGTATACATTGTATTTAAAACCCAGTTTCATTACACACGGTAATATTATTATAATACTCTCGATTAAGCGCCGCGGCGCTTATTCCAGAGCGGCGCTTGACGAAGAAAAAAATCACGTTTGGTGTGGCGCTTATTCGAGAGCGGCGTTTATTCGAGCATTTACCGTAAGGATCAGTTACAGTAGAATAAGAATATATTTAGAGCAATAAATTGCAATGCAAATACAATTCATTTATAATATGAAATCAGTGGAAATGTAATTAAAACAACAATAATTTTATATGTACTCATTATTGTTTCATTATGCAATGTTAATGACTAATAATGTTCTTTTTCCTTTTAAATATTGAGCTTTTTTCTGTTAGATGGATGTAGCATGAATAGAGTAAAATGTTTTGATATGGGTTAAAATCCTATATGAAAATACACGAAGAACAAAGAAAAAGAAATCCCCATTAGTCAAAAGGGTCAAAATTGACAAGATTGGCTTACAAAGTAACACATGCAGTTGGCCTATGTACTGATATTCAATCATGGATTAAGGGGAGAAAATTCTGGTTTATTGCTCAAAAGGTGTCAAAATGTAAAAGTTAAGTGCTGTAGATGTTTTGATACAATTAAAAAATTAAGTGTCCACTTAATAGGGGTCATTTGACCATTGGGAAGTGTCCCTATCCCTAGGGGTGTCCTCTTAATAGGGGTTGACTGTAGTGCGAAAAGATATAATATTTCCCCTCGTTTCACAGAAAAGTGTCTCCTTAATAGGGGTGTTTCCTGAATATGGGTGTCCCAAAAAAAAAAGGGGGGGGGGGTGGTGGTGTACTGTATCTGAGGAAACTTGTTTACTTGTGTACATTTAGTCTGGGATAAGCTGTTCATGATATTTTTTTTTTTTTTTGTAAAAAAAAAACAAAAACAAAAACTACTACATTATACTTATATTAAAGCAGATTAGAAATGTTATCGCTTCATGGTGTCAAAATATTTACTGATCCTCGAACGTGCTCGTACCAAAGGCCGCAATACCACATTATACACCCTTGTAGCATGCTTGTAGTGTGGCGTTTTGTCAGACGGAAGCTCAAGCTGAAATTGCCTGTTTTAAATCTGTATAGGCCAATTCAAAATCTGAATTTCAAATTTATTTCTCCAATAACCTTCATGCATTAATATTTTAACACTCCACAAAAAAAAAATCATTTTTAGCATATTTGTCGAATAACATTGACAATGTAATATATGATTCGTCCCTTATATAATGTAGTGGCGAATGTGGAAAAGTGCATTTTGAGAAAAACGCATTTAAAGATTTTTGAAAAATGTCCTAATTTTTGTTAGCATACCGTACATTTTTTGTATAAAGTTGCCTAAATTTCTATATGGTTATGGTATATTGCCTCCTAATACTGTGTATAAAATATATGACCATAATAACGATTGGTTAATTAGCAATTCATCATTAAACTTATTCGTCACTTCGAAAAATAATAATTAACGTACAAATTGCAGTAATTTAACATTCGCCACACATTCGCCACTTTGTTAGTGTTAAAATGTTTTTTATATAATAAAGGATACAAGGAGAAAGAAGGAAAGCAATAAGATCCGGAGTGGCTGAGAATTGTACCGAAAATTATATAATAATGATAATGGCTCATTATATATATCATCACATAGCCTACTATATTTTACGAGTTTGTATTAAATGTATGTGCGTAAGCGTAAAAACTTCTTAAATATCAAGGCGTGAGTGTGCGCTAAATATGTAGCTTTTCTCGAAAAATGCGTTATAATAACCAATAATACGTAAACAAATCGTTTCATGTTAAATCCTCTTTAATTAAAAAAAAATAACCGTATCCTCTTTAATAAAAAAAAATAACCGTATAAAAAATAACAATAATGATTAAAATCATTCAAAATCATAATGGAAATTAATTAATTTTTTAACGTAATTTAGAACTAGTACAAAAGATTCATTTAAGTTTCTTATTATAATTAATTTATTTATTAATATAGGTATTGTGTTAGCCTAAGACCTACACGAAGCATGAGCTCGTGTAGACCAAACCAGTGCCGTTTCTTTTTAAATCGTACAGGAAATCCACTCACGATGATACGTTCATTTAATTTATGCTTGCACGCAGGTGGGGATCCAGACCTTCGCCCAGGCGAAGGTCAAGGTGAGAAATAAAAATAAAATGTTGACCATTTTCCCAACAATCATACTTACTTTCCTTGATACTTATTTTGAACATTATCATTAGGACATTTTTTAAATCCACACTAGCCTATATCTTACACCTTTACACTGATTGTACTGCAGGCCCTATCAGAGAGGTCCCATTACATTATGGTTTTCCACATAGTGCATAATACAGTGCATGACAAACGTTACGCTACTAATTGGGAGAGTTTCAGCTCAGTCCTACTATGTTAGCATTGTTTTAAAGTAATAACCTATCAGACATTCACATGAACAACAAAACCAATGAAAATATATTTTGCTTAACTATTGTTTTCAGCAACAGTTGCGTCTCCAGAATTTAAGGAATGAGTGGTGGGTGCTAATAAAATGAGAGTCCACACCACGTCAGCGCCACTGTGGTTGGCGGTGATGCGAAAAGTTCAGTATTTTATACCTCTGGGTGCCTGGAAATGGAACTTAAATTGCCATTTACTTTTTATTTTATTTTGGACGAATTGAGTAAAAAAAATCCGAATTATTTAAATAGGTTGTACCCGAAAATTACACTTAAATAATTACAATTCTAAAAACTACCATATCCAACTGAACCCCAACATGGTTGTGGCTCAGGTAAAAAGGTTTGAGACTCAAACTTGATTAGTACAAAACTTACGATATCTACCTGAGCCCCACAATGGCTTTGGGGCGCAGATGAGTAAATTTTAACAATTTGAGACTTCATAGTTTTCCCAAAAACGGCAATTTAAGACTTCTAGATGCCGGAAAATGGCACTTTAATACATAAACACTACGAAAATTACTATATCCACCTAAGCCCCATCATGGATGAGGCTGAGGTGGGAAAATTTTAAGAATAAAACACACTTTTGTCACAGTGTGTCCACACTGTGGACTACTATGTGAATTTCTCTCTGTGTACCTTACGTAGTAACACACTGTGATCACTGTGGCTGACTATTTAAATTCTCTACACTGTTTTTTCAGTCCAAACACGGCGGCCATTGTGTGTAAACACGGCGTGACCACAGTGTGCACCGTGTGTACACACTGTTGACACAGTGTGCACTCTGTGTACAATCTGTGGCATTTTTCTAATGGTATATATATATA